AGTAATATTATGATTATTAAAATCATAGACATCCTTGTCTCAGTTATCAGTTGCCATATAAGAAGCCATTCAAAACTTAGTAGCTTAAACAGTGGTTTATTTTTGTGATTCTGTGGCTTGGCTGGACTCTGATTAGACAGTTCCCTCTTTCTTTGGATTTTTGTTTTTTTTATTTATTTATTTATTTATTTATTTATTTATTTATTTATTTATTTATTTATTTATTTATTTATTTATTTATTTATTTATTTATTTATTTATTTATTTATTTATTTATTTATTTATTTATTTATTTATTTATTTATTTATTTATTTATTTATTTATTTATTTATTTATTTATTTATTTATTTATTTATTTATTTATTTATTTATTTATTTATTTATTTATTTATTTATTTATTTATTTATTTATTTATTTATTTATTTATTTATTTATTTATTTATTTATTTATTTATTTATTTATTTATTTATTTATTTATTTATTTATTTATTTATTTATTTATTTATTTATTTATTTATTTATTTATTTATTTATTTATTTATTTATTTATTTATTTATTTATTTATTTATTTTATTTTATTTTCCTTAAAAGATGACTGGTAAGGGGATCTTAAACCTTGACTTGGTGTTGTCAGCACCATGCTCTCCCAAGTGAGCCAGCCAGCCAGGATCCAAACCCGCTGCCTTGGTGTTATCACCACTTTCCCAAGTGAGCCATGGGCCGGCCCCTTGGTTTGTTTATTTTTAAAAAGTCAACCTTATACCTAAATGTAATTTTTTAAAAAACTTTAAACAATCACAGATGTCTCTACAAAATAATATCCTGGTAGTTCAGCATACATATAAAATTTTACCATTAACTATTCTAATCTCCTATATGTATATTTTTATACTGTGCTTCCCCCAACAAAAGGATAGTGGACATGCTTAAACCTTTTAAGTCTTGCTGTAGTTACCCTCTGTTATTACTGCTACATTCTGAGCATAAGCTTCTCATTGTGTGTTCCTATACCTAAATAAAAAACAGCTAGGAAGTACACCTCTGTGATCCATATTCTGGTTCCGTTATGATGAAATTTTTAAGTGCCATGATATATATGTAGCAGAAAGCTACCTCTCAATCCAATGAAAGTAGGAAATCACTTTTGGTTATGGTACCTATACTAAATGTAAAAGATATTTGATAGATACTGGCATAGTGAGTACTCTCATATTTTTCAATAAAGTCAGGGAAGTAACCACACAATATTAATTCTAAAAGGAGAACCCCACAGGAGGTCCTTTACAAAACAAAAGTCAACAGGAACAAAACACAAGGGGCTAGTCATTCACATTCTAGAACAATTCTAGTACTACAATCATTAAAATATACATTAAACAAGAAAAAAGGGAAATCAAGAAAATACTAGATTTACTTCTAAGCTTAAATCATAACGTTTTGTTAAACCACTTAAAATTTTTCTTATCTAATAGTCTTAATGAAGAGAGAGACAGGAGAAGAGAAGAAGGGGAGGGGAGAGAGCTTTCTTGCATTTTCTATGATGATGCTATAGCTCAAAAGTGTTTTTGTTCATTTAGGCATATGAGTTCTCTAAGAATCCACAATGCTTGCATGCAGGACTTTGGGTAGTTCTTCACACGGTACTGGCCGAGGTCACTCATTGCTGCTTTTTGCTGGGAGTTCAGCTGGGGCTGAAATACCAGAGATGGCTTCACTTATGCGTCTAGTGATGCAGGTGTGGCCTTTCTCTTCAGCAGAGTAGTTTAACTTCTTACACATTGGCTCAGGGCTTCAAGACAGCAAAAAGGGAAGCCTCCAGATCTCTTTAAGGGTTAGGCCAAAAACTGGAATTAGCAGTCCCTTTTGCTGCATTCTGCTGATTAAAGCAAGTCAGTGGAGGTAGTTCAGACTCTAGGAGAAAGGAAACAAATTCCACCTCTTGAGAAAAGGAGTGGCATACATAAATAAACAGGGATGACAGAGGTCATCTTTGGAGAATGTCTACCACAGTTCTGTTCTCTCATAGTTAGCTTTTGAGCAAAAATGTTAGTCCCTTTAAATTTAATCTTTAATTTAGTCTTGTTTCTTGGTTTTCAAATCTTAATGCTTCCTGGTTTTATGTCACTGGAAAATGTAGTAGACAGAAATATGCCATTTATGTCCTTCGTCACTTACGGTCAGCATTTCACCAGAAGCACTTGCCACTGTTTGGTCCTTTTGGTCTTTCATTAGGCCAGAAAGCAGCCTGACTAATAATGTTATCCCGCTTCCTGTTACTTGTTGCCTCTGGTTAACAGCTTTGAAGTTGTTGTTTTATGGCTAATTCAGTGCTCAGCTATGGAGAAGAAGTACTTTATTGCTGTTTTAATTCCCAGAGAATGTCTTAGTTCAGTATGACTTGCCCCAGTATAAAATAAAAATTATTGGGGGATATAGAAGTTGCTATTTACAAAAGATAAATTATTAATTCTAGCAGCATTTATTGACACCTTGCCTAAAGAACTTAACTGGTGTAGCTTTAAAATTTTACATTTCAAGTGATTGGATTCACTCTTTAGTAATTGCACTTTTGTGGCCTTCATCTATACACACTTAGGAGTGGGTTAATAAAGTCACTGAAAAGTGAAGGACATGATTAGGCTGTGTTATTCTTAGTTTCAGTTGTCTTCCCTGCTGGACCACTTATCCACAAACTAGAGATATTGTTCATTATTTTCCCAGTTCCTAGAACAGTGGCATTTAAGTATTTGGAGAATAAGTGAATGTAAAACATGTGTTGAAATAGTAAAATACAAAATAGAGATACCTAGATGGAGAATTTATTTCATGACAGTGCTTAGTCATTGCCAGTTCTTTATTTGAAATGATTCTTAGTATAGTCTTAAGTATATGTAAATGAGCTAGAGAGCAGTTCACAATTGATTTGAATTGTATGTAGAGTCTTTTTAAAATTCATGTTTTCTCCTGCTGTTAATTTGAAGTTATTTGTGAATTCTGATTCGTCACATCACACCTTTTTTTTAGTTAGACTTTATAGCTAATTCAGCCATAACCTTCTGCCTAGCTAATCAGAAACAGAATTTATAAAATGTAATTGCATAGAGATTTCTTAGTTTCATATAGCATTTTTAATATAATGTGTATTGTGATGGAGGGGATTAGAGTTTTGCTTGTCTTTGCAGCTAGATAATGAAGTACTAGTATATAGCACTTCTAGCTTCTAGCATGGTGTCTGGAGTATAGTGATAATAGCAAGTAAATATTCAACTAAGTGCAAGTGCTTTACCTTTATTTTTTTTCCCAGCAATCCTTATGGTAGCTATTTAGATGAGAAAGCAGTGAATCATTGAGAGTAAGTAGGTCACACAGTATGAAATGCCACAATTTAAACCCAGACTCACCCCAAAGCCGCTATGCTTATACTCTCTCCTACAGTCAAATGAATAACGCATTTGTATAAACATGAAAACTTGAAAAAGCCTTTTTAAGACCATTGTTCCTAATTGAAAAAACTCACCATTTTAAATGCAACTATCTTCTGCTGTTTGAGGGAGATCCCCAAAGAGCAACCATACTTGGTAAAGAACATGGTGTTCAAAGGACAAAACACTTTTGCAACTAAGAGAACTTTGAATGGGAAGGTATGGGTGTGATGTAGTAAAGCGTTTGCTAACCAAAAAATACTCTTCTGATTTCAAGTCAGTAGTTTGAACATTGGTTAGTAATCACAGGACAGATTTTAGGTTGACTTTTCTCATCTCTGTCCTCCTCTTATAACACAGTACAATTTGGCCCTACTGCCACTTCATTTGGTATTTGTAGATTTAGTTGTAAAAAGGGCAGAGGAGGCTGGGTTAAAGCTTGTTGACCCACCAACTGATGGAACATAATGAGTAAAGACACAAAGTTAGAGTTATTATTTAAAAGCATTTTTCAAACTGTATAGATTAAACTACTAGGTGACTGCCTTCTAGAATAGAAACCAAGAATTAGTAATCTTTTTCCTTGTAATAATTGATTTATTTCACGCTCAGCCCAGTTGAAAATTGATTTCACCTGCATTCCCAGAGCATGCTTGTGCTTTAGCAGGAGGAAGTGTGTGGGGGTGGTGAGTGGGTAATTTTTTTTAACATTTGCCTAATACTACTCTACCGGAATTATCTTTCTCCCCCTTATTCACTAGTTTATTTTGCCTTTTCCCCCCAATATAATGATCTTATTTTTTTCTTTAAATTATTTGTAATTAGTAGCATGTGAGGATTTAATTAGTTATTAAAGTTTTAAACAAAATTGTAGGGTGATGTTTTATCTGTTTTCTGTGGTGATCTGTAAACATGTATGTTGTTAGCTAAAAATCACTTTAATGAAATTAAAGGTCTAACTCATTAGATATGTAAATCTCATAATCCTACCACTGTCTCAACTTAGGAAAAATAAAACTTTTGTTTTAAACTTTTTTTTTGAACCTGTTGTGAGGTTTACTTAAATTGTGTTTTTATAAATAAGGTTAATTTTGTTCTACTTCCTCTGGCTGGACTCTGGTAGTATCTTGTTACATCATTGGTTTCTGCTTCAGTCATATTCTTCCAGAGTCCCAAAAGTTTCATCTCTTATGTTCTTCTTTCTATTCTCATGTCATGACTACATTTAAATGGAAAGTTTGTCAGCTTATTAGAAAATGTTCCTAAATATGAATTATCATGCTTCACATTTACTAAAATCAGCGTGTTAATAGGTAACACCATTGGGGACTGATATTCAATTTTATCATCTTTAAATAATGAACTGATAACTAATTTCAAATTTTAAGTATTGCTGCTGAAAGCATTGTGCTTTTAAACCAGAGATTCATGGGCCTGCTGCATTCACAATTGTATATTGACAACTGGGTATTAAAGTTTTATAACTTAGGCTATAGGATCCTCTTAAGAAATGCAGATTCTTTTAGTTTTATAAATGTATTATTCTTATTACATCTGTTTCTGTTCTTCCTAAGTCTCTTTTGGAAAAGTTCTTGATCCCCAACGCTTCACAAGCAGAGAGCAAAGTCTTCTATTTGAAAATGAAAGGAGACTATTACCGTTACTTGGCTGAGGTTGCTGCTGGTGATGACAAGAAAGGTATGTTGTGTTTTAAACCTGTTGGTTGAGCTTTTATAAAATGACATATTATAGAAGTAGTCTCTTTCTGAAGTGTAAACAACTTTTTGTTTTAGAGCGCTGAATGAGAGCGGGAATGTTTGTTTTTTGTACTGAGAATATGTATCTACTACCTAATATTGACATTCTAAAGTGTATGCTTTCTCTAAAGCCAATTTTGTTGTGTACAGGGATGTTTCCTCAAAATTTCAAAAAATAGTTGAAACTTAATTATTAAAAATATAACAATGATGGGATTACAAAGCTTTTATCTTTACATTAACCAATGGCTAGTGTGTTGTTCCAGCAGAAGACTCTCCCCCCCCCCCCTTTTTTCTTACATTAAGGGGTCTTTTTCAGTTAAGGGTTGTTACAGCTTAATATTTTCAGAGAACACATGGGTATTAAATTAAAAGTTTGGTTTGAGGTATAGAGATAAAGTATAGACTTTATCAATACATTTTAATATGTCTTGTTATCCAGGGATTGTGGATCAGTCACAACAAGCATACCAAGAAGCTTTTGAAATCAGCAAAAAGGAAATGCAGCCAACACATCCTATCAGATTGGGTCTGGCTCTTAACTTCTCTGTGTTCTATTATGAGATTCTGAACTCCCCAGAGAAGCCCTGCTCTCTTGCAAAGACAGGGCCTGCTCGCTTGCAAAGACAGTATGTATTTTACCTGTTATGTGGAAATTTAGCAGTCTTTATTATTTGAGCACTAAAATGTACTTTTTTAAATCATAGGCTTTTGATGAAGCCATTGCTGAACTTGATACATTAAGTGAAGAGTCATACAAAGACAGCACACTAATAATGCAATTACTGAGAGACAACTTAACAGTAAGTACATAACAGCATTATTAATGATCAATGTGGTTAAAGAGATTGTTTCACAGAGGCTATTTCTGGTCTTTTTTATTAAATATAAGATCCTTGTCTACAGTTAAAAGCATATGAAGAAAATTGCATTATAGAAACTGAAAAGAAATATTAGGCCAAGGACTAAAAATGTATACTTTCATTAGTTACAAATCTATTTTTAATTTTCAAAATAATTTTGTGATCCATGGTTTTGGACTTTTAGTCACATAGGCCATTTATTTTTTCATTTTAAATCTTGAATGTTCTCATATCAAAATATACTAAGGCTCTCTATGTTTAAATTCCTTTAAAAATGGTTTTCTTGTTTGTTGATCATGTTACTTCAATATTTGTATAGGTATGGTTGGGCATTAATAACTTCAGCTATAAATTTTCAGATAGTCTACAGAATCTGAATGTAAATCTATTTTGCCTAGTCTCTTTAATTATAAAATGACTTATGGAAGGTCATGGTGGTCCTTCTAGGTATACTCCAGATTTAAAAAAAGAACCACAATGCCATTATCATATCAAAAAAATCAACAATTCCTTAATAATAATAAATATTTAAATAATGTTCAAATTCCAATTGCCCCTACTTATTTAACAATCTGTTGTTTCAATTGGGACCCAAATAAAGTCTACACATTGCAATTGGTTTATATGTCTCCTTGGTTCCTTAGGTTTTCCCATTCTCCTTCAGATAAATATTAAATTTGAAGTTTTGAGGCTTAGTTGAAAAAATTTTCAAGCATCTACTGTGTGTCAGGTAAAGAGGTAGGAATTTCAGATTGTAGTCTAGTGTAACTGGTTTTTATTAACTTTAAGACCATTTATCTTTTATACATAATCACTTCTTCCAGCATTATTCTAGTCCATTGCCAATTTTCTATAAACCAGTTCTACATTATAGTGCTGAATATTCTTGATGATGAGTTTTTTGAACAGAATTGTGTACTTATTATTATTAACCATCTAGTTATTTTAGTAGGTGCAATTTGGGACTATCTACAAACTTGTGAGATTTTTATTTTAGTCAAGAGAGTAAGGTATAATAAAGAATATAAGAATCTTTATATCAGATGAAAGAAGCACTTTAATATGTTAATATTAAGAATTTTTCTTGTCTGATTTGAAGTGATGACACCCTAAAAAGGTGGAACCTGATACCAAGTTACTGTGTTGTGTTCTCATCACTTTTTGAGAGGGCCTGATGTAATATATACTTCCAGCTGAATTTTGGTATCAGTATAGCATGAGCAGCATATTGCAACAACTGAGTAAGATGAAAAACCAAGGTTCCAATTTTTTTTTTTTTTTTTTGTCTTTTTCCGTGTCCGGCAACGGATCGCAACCCTCAGTGTTGCCCCCGGACCGGACCGGGGACCAGCAACGGGATCGCAACCCTCGGTGTTGCTCCCGCGCCTCGCTCAGCCAGTGAGCGGGAACCGGTCCGCATGTGGGATCCGAACCCTCGGGCGGGAGCGCCGCTGCGCTTCCCAAGCGGCGCACTATCCAGTGTGCCACCGGGCCGGCCCCAAGGTTCCAATTTTGATTCTATAACTTTTTATGTCTTCTCTGAGCCTTGTTAGTGTCAGCTATTATCATTATAGGTTGATTGGATCATTTATCTGTCAAGAAAAGAAGTTTTCCCAAAACTTAACCTAGTATTTGGGTCTAAATCTGGTTGATCAAGATTGTCAACACATTACCTCAGAAAGAGAAATACCTTGTATCAAGTTTTTACATGTTTGTATAGAAAAATTCAAAAATTCTTGAAGGTTAGAACTAGAAAGAGACATTAGAGATGATTTCATTTTGCCTTACAAAACCCCTTGTTCAGTAGGGGCACAAAGGCTTCAAGAGGTCGATTGGCTAGCTGTGTGACCTTGGAAGTTGTTTCTTTTCCAGGCCAGAGATATTGTTGGTTAAAAAATAAATGAAACTAATGGAGGATTTGGGGAATAGAAAAATATTAGGTAGGATTCCACCCCCCCCCCCCTTTTTTTTTAGTGTACAAGTCATATAAAATTTAAGACCATCTTGAGTCAATCCCTTTATTACTCTGAAAATCACTGTAGAGTGGTTAAGACTTTTTTTTTTTTTGGTCTTTTTTCGTGTCCGGCAACGGATCGCAACCCTCAGTGTCGCGCCCGGACTGGACCGGGACTGGCAACGGGATCGCAACCCTCGGTGCTGCGCCCGCACCTCGCTCAGCCAGTGAGCGGGAACCGGTCTGCATGTGGGATCTGAACCCTCGGCGGGAATGCCGCCGCGCTCCCAAACGGCGCACTGTAGCAGTGCGCCACCGGGCCGGCCCTGGTTAAGACTTTTTACAAATTTTAACACTGAGGCAGTTGAAATAATTTTTTTTTTTTTTTTTCTTAAAAGATGACCGGTAAGGGGATCTTAACCCTTGACTTGGTGTTGTCAGCACCACACTCAGCCAGTGAGCGAACCGGCCATCCCTATATGGGATCCGAACCCGGGGCCTTGGTGTTATCAGCACCGCACTCTCCCGAGTGAGCCACGGGCCGGCCCTGAAATAATTTTTGAAATTATTTTTTTAACCTGTTGAAAACGGTTAACATTAATGAAAAAAATAATAATAGAATTCATAATCCTACCATTATGGGACAGCTTTTGTTTTTTACCTCTTAGAAGATTTGGTTCTGGCTATACTATCTTGCTCAACATTTCTTTCAAATCATACAAATACAGAAAGGTATGGTTTTTTAAGCTTAAAAAGGTCAGAAAAGCTAAATTTGTAGTATAGCTCAGAGTTGATGCTGGTTCTTGAATTTCATGGTATGTAGGATTCTCCTTGGAGTGTGGGAGTCACTCTAAGCTCTACCAGGGGAGAGTAGTCAACCTAGCTCCTTGAGCAAGGGCCCAGTTAGATGATTCTGTTTTAGTTGACAGTGCTAGTATATCCATCTCTTGTATTGGGACACTTTGGGACAATCTGATATTATATAGCTGATGATGCTTAGGGTTTTTTAATACTTCATGATTTCTTCTACTTTCTCTTCACCTCCTATGAATAACCAAAAGTTTTCTAGATCTGACTTTATTTGAAGATGATTCTACTTACAATGCTTACAAAATATGTACTTAGTGTGCTTACAAAATGATTAGGGAGAAAAATATATTGAGCTATTTTGTATCTTGATACTGTCATCAGTACTACTATCTTTTAAAGAATGCTTTCCAACTAAAACACACTGATTACATTCTCATACCTTGGCATATATATATGAAAATTGCCCCACCCCTTCCTTTTTTCCCCCCCAAACTGGAACATGCTGAAAAAAATTTTTTTCTTTCTTCTTTTTTCTTTTTTTTTTTGAACCAGTTATGGACCTCGGATACCCAAGGAGATGAAGCTGAAGCAGGAGAAGGAGGGGAAAATTAACCGGCCTTCCAACTTTTGTCTGCCTCATTCTAAAATTTACACAGTAGACCATTTGTCATCCATGCTGTCCCACAAATAGTTTTTTGTTTACGATTTATGACAGGTTTATGTTACTTCTATTTGAATTTCTATATTTCCCATGTGGTTTTTATGTTTAATATTAGGGGAGTAGAGCCAGTTAACATTTAGAGAGTTCTCTGTTTTCATCTTGAGGTGGCCAATATGGGGATGTGGAATTTTTATACAAGTTAAAAATGTTTGGCATAGTACTTTTGGTACATTGTGGCTTCACAAGGGCCAGTGTTAAAACTGCTTCCATGTTCTAAGCAAAGAAAACTGCCTACATATTGGCTTGTAAAACTGCTTCCATGTTCTAAGGTGTTAAAACTGCTTCCATGTTCTAAGCAAGGAAAACTGCCTACATATTGGCTTGTCTGGTGGGGAATAAAAGGGATAATTGGTTCCAGTCACAGGTGTGATTATCGTGGGTACTTTAAGGTCTGGAGCACTTAGAAGGCTGTGGTAGAAACGGATATCCCTTGGATGCTACATGTCGAGCCATGTGTATCTGCAGAATACTCAATCTCAGTGTGCACACCTTTGACTACAGCTGCAGAAGTGTTCCTTTAGACAAAGTTGTGACCCAGCTTACTCTGGATAAGGGCAGAAACGGTTCACATTCCATTATTTGTAAAGTTACCTGCTGTTTGCTTTCATTATTTTTGCTACACTCATTTTATTTGTATTTAAATGTTTTAGGCAACCTAAGAACAAATGTAAAAGTAAAGATGCAGTAAAAATGAATTGCTTGATATTCATTACTTCATGTTTATCAAGCACAGCAGTAAAACAAAAAAACCCATGTATTTAACTTTTTTTAGGTTTTTTTGCTTTTGTGATTTTTTTTTTTTATACTTGCCTAACATGCATGTGCTGTAAAAATAGTTAACAGGGAAATAACTTGAGATGATGGCTAGCTTTGTTTAATGTCTTATGAAATTTTCATGAACAATCTAAGCATAATTGTTAAGAACACGTGTATTAAGTTCATGTAAGTGGAATAAAAGTTTTATGAATGGACTTTTCAATTACTTTCTCTACAGCTTTTCATGTAAATTAGTCTTTTGGTTCTGAAACTTCTCTAAAGGAAATTGTACATTTTTAGAAATGTATTCCTTATTCCCTCTTGGCAGCTAAATGGGCTCTTACCAAGTTTAAGTACAAAGTTTATCACAACATCAAAAATACTACTAATGTAACTACTGTTTCCCAGCTATGTCCCATATCCCCCTCTCCCCACCCCTTCACCTTGGACCCTCAAAAAATTAGGTTTTTGTTGTTGTTCTGGGGGAGGAGGGAAGGTTGGAAAAAATCTGTTCCATTTAAAATTTTGGTATATGGCATTTTTTCACTTAGGAAGCCACAGTGTTCTTGTCCCATCATGACATTGGATAGCATTAACTAAGTTTTGTGCTTCCAAATCATTTTTGGCTTTTAAGAATTTCTTGATACTCTTATAGCCTGCCTTTCATTTGGGTCCTTTATTCTATTTGTCAGGTGCACAAGATTACCTTTTCTTTTTTTCAGCCTTCTGTCTTGTCACCAATCATTCCTACTTGGTGGCCATGTAGTTGGGAAAAGGCCGCATGATCTTTCTGGCTCAACTCAACATCTAAGATACCCTGCTTCCTTTGCTTGCATCCTACAGACTTTCCCTCATCCTATTTACTGCAGCAAATCTCTCTTTAGTTGATGAGATTGTGTTTATCTCCCTGTGAACCCTACCTATCCTAAGTGGTCTGTCATTGTCTGCCTTTAAAATTCTTCCTCTATTCTCTAAATAATGAAGGGGCTAAGTTATACCCAAAGCTCACCCTACAGAATATTTCCTCAATACTTTGCAGAAAACACCAAACAAAAATGCCATTTTTAAAGAGGTGTATTTTTTTTTTCTTTTAGAATGTAAGCTCCTCAAGAGCAGGGACAATGTTTTCTGTATGTTCTATTGTGCCTAGTACACTGTAAATGCTTAATAAATATTGATGATGGGAGGCAGTGAGTCTTGATGATAAGGGTGAGAAACTGAAACCCCAAACACTGTTTTGTTGGCTTGTTTTATTATGACCTCAGATTAAATTGGGAAATATCAGCCCTTTTGGACAATTGTCCCAAATATTAATTCAAATAAAAGTGCAATGAAGGCCTTGGGGTCTTTATTTCCAGGAGAAAAGATCACTTATGCATTTGGGACAACATAATGCATCTTCACTCACAGCTTTCTTTTACCTTTCCTATTGATTTCTCCTGACCTGCAGGCTGAGGAGGTTAAATAACCATCTTATAGCTAAGGAGAATTAAGCTAGCTAGACTGAGGTGGGATCTCATTCAAGTAAATTATAAATAAAATCTGAAACTTGTCACATTAGTCTATTAGCTATTTATGTGTACCAGTCATCTATTAAACTAGTATCTGAAATAATTGTGATAATACTTCACTAATATTAGCTATTTAATGTTTTCTACATAGTAGTGCCCAATAGATGAAGGAAGATTTTCAACTTGAGATTTTTTTTGCCTTGGAATTTAAATAATAAATTTGTTTATAACTTACTTAACTGTCCCTAATCTAGGCTTCTTGTCTGTTTTTTGTCAGTATAACATGGTAGTGTCAGGAAATTGTAGAATCCAGCAATGTGGTTTGGGCAGGTAGGGTAAGAGAATTAAAAGAATGTTAGTTGAATGGCTAACCCCAATTATGGGGGCTTTATTTTTTTTCTTCCTGTCTTCCCTGCAAAATAGTAAGCAATCCTGAAACTAGTTGAGGCCAATTTGGAAGCTGCAGACCGAGATTATTTGTGGTCAGACCTCAACTTGAGAATGAAACTTTGGAAACTGTCAACAGTAAGATGTATAAGAATCTATAGGCTCTGGATGCAGATCCAAGAATTGTGGAGACTCCAGCAGTGGCAGCATCATTTAAATGATGGATTTGTATAGTCTCCTTGGGGGAGAAAATAACTTGGATGCAGGTGCATCATAATCACTGCACAGGAGCCTACAGTATATTAGAAACTTTTTATCTGGTGCTGCATGCTCAAAAAGAGATGGTCTTACACATTCTGTAGGGAAAGTTTAAGGAATAAATTGCTTTATTGTGTTTTGTCATATACCATATAGGAAATTACTGTAGCAGATTTGAAATGTATACAGTCTTAAGGTGATGGGTGAGGCTGGACACTTGGAAAATGGCTAGACTTGGATCATTTTCTCTATGTGAAACTACATTAATAAGATACTTTTTAATGTGACTTAAGCAGTCCCAATCTCATTGGTTAATTCTGGCTCCCTTTAGGGAGTTGAGAGACCTAAAAATACAGGATTATTGGGTCTAGATAGGTATTTGTTTTACCACAAGAGGCCTCTGAGGAAACTGGTACTCTTGGATGACCAAAGGGCGTTCAAGAGTCCATCACAGTTGTAGATCTGCTTTTAAAAACCTGAAAATCTTAAAAATGCTGCCTATGTATGTCCAAATCTGATCGTGCTACTCACCTGGATCCCCTGAAGTCTATATGTCTAATGATGGTTGACCCCAAGTATTTTAAAAATTGATGATAGACCAACTACTTGGAAGACAGTGCCTCCGCCCTGTGTTACTATTACCCTAATTAACCAGTTTTGTAAGATGTGCAGCTGTCATAGGACAAGCAAGGATGTATCTGGGATGCAGAAACGAAGCTGAGAGTGAATAACCCTAGGTGGCCAGAGACCCAAATATTTGATCATATTTGAGTCCATTCCGTGGAATTTCTGAAAGCCCAAGTTTTATATAATCGTAATCAGAGACTTGTCAGTATTAATTCCTAATTCCAGAACTTAAAACACTATCACTATTAGTAGGTGTTTACATTAACATTGGATGTTGGTTTGGGTCAACACTGAGTGTTTAAAGAGGCTTCTCAGAGAAGATTTATTTTTAGTCAATACTTGCAGAATGAATGGGAGCCAGATGGAGGTTACAGCAGGTTCAAAGGCATCAAGATGAGAGGAATTTAAAGGACTAACATGCACTTGCAAATCTGGGGGCTTTGTGAGATTGTAGAAAGAAGAAATGGGCAATGTTCTGCTTTGTAAATAGCAGCCTGTAGTTTTCATTTTTAATGCTTTAGAATCATCTGAGGGGAGCTTGCGTTAAGTGCCTATTTTCAGGATTCTAAATTTTTTTGGTTGGAGCCTGGGAATATTTTTTTGTTTTTTAGCAAAACTCATGGGTGTTAATGATGCACAGCATCTACACGGCTGAAGTCTGTAAGGGGACGGGGAACACAGATGATATGCAGGAAAATAAGGGTGTGCGAGACTACATTTCAAGCCAAAAATGCTATTTCTAAAACTGAAAAGAAATGGTCTGCAAAACAAGTTTTTGAATCTGCTCAGCAGATCGCATTTCCCAAAAAGGAGATTAAGAATAAAGGTTATCTATCAAAACAAGTTTTTCACTAGTTTGGGAGCATATGCCATTTAGAACTCTTACTGTGTTGAGAGGAAAAATGTTAACCTATATATATATATAGCATTATATTTATATATATACGTGTGTGTGTGTATGTATATATATATATATATGATTGTGAGCTTTTAAAATGAAGGCCATTAGTATTTCTCTTCATGCCATGCTGAAAAGTCAAATCCACATGAATGAAGGACTTAAAAGCAAACTTTAGAATGTCCATTACAAATGTAGGTGGATAACTTGCTGACCTTGAAATGTAAGGGAAGCTCTCTTAAAATGAACACAGTACTAACTAGAAAAGTACATATAAATTCTGAATCTTTATACAAATTTAACCACATGAAAAGACACCTGAAAGTAGAAAGACAACTGAGACAACATACATGAGTACTTCAGAAAGTTCATGGAAAAATAGAGTTAAGAGATAATAACAAATGTTTCCATGAACTTTTAGAAGACTCCTGGTATAACTGACAAAATATTAGTGTTAACTACAAATCAATAAGGAAAGGGGGAACAGCCCAGATAGAAAAACAGGCAAAGATTTTGCACAGGCATTTTCATAGAAGAGGAAATATATGATCGATAAATACGTGAAGAAACAAGACCACTATAAGATACCACTATTTTACCCCTAATTGATTAGTATAGTTAAAAAGTCTGGCTGTACCAAATGTTGGAGATGACGTGGATTGAGATCTTTTAACATTGCTGGTGGGAGTTTGAATTGGTACATCGTTTTACAAAACGATGTGGCGTTATCTTGTAAAGTTGAACATTCACATTCCTGCAACCCAGCAATTACATCCTGGGTATATCTCCTAGAACTCTTGCACATGTGCACCAGGAAATCATAAATATTCACAGCTGCACTGTTTGAAGTAGAAAAAAATTCGAAACAATCCAAGTGTCGATTGAAAGGAGTTATTTATCAAATGACATAATGAGTAGTAGAAAATAACTCAACTATAGCCCAGTAAGTAACAGGTGAATTTTAATAACAATGTTGAGTGAAAAAAATCCAGTTGACTATATACAGTATGATCCTTATAAAATTTAAAAGTGAACAAATCTTTTGCTTAGGCATACGTACATGATACAACTTTCTTTCATTTCCTTGGTAGAAGAGACAAGTACAACATTTAGAATAGAGGTTGCCCATAGAGAAGAAGCTGGGGGACCGGCTAAGGCAGGATAGGTAACCAAGTTAGCAGTAATGTTATCAGCTTGGGAGAGAGGGGAGTTCACAGTTATTCATTAGAGAGAGAGAGAGATCCATGCAAGGAACAGGGCTGCCACAAGGATTATGATTAATTCGGTTCTGGGCATCCAACGTCACAGAAAGAAAGGCAAAGAACTAAATGAAAACAAAGTACAGTGGGCCAAAAAATTAGTCAAAGTCTTGCTTGAATGGTAAAAATAATATTGGCAGAGAAAATGTAATAGTCACTGTTTATTTAAATGACAGGAAACTGAACATGCAAAACTGAAATTGCTAGCCGATTCATTATACCCTAAAATTGTCCTAGCATCATTTCCATTTGACCCTCGAGCAAGGAGCAAGAACTGGAGTTATGGTTAGAGGAAAACACTGAGCTGGGAAGGATCTATTATAAAATGCTGAATAGAATGAAAAGTACCAGCCTCTGAAATGAAAGAGCAGGAAAGTCTTAAAGGACTTTTGGTAGCAATAGTGAATATTCTGGGGCCTAAAGAATCTTCTGTCATACCAGCCAAACCACTTGGGCAAATTCAGCCTGTCTTAAGGCTCCTGGCTTCTTAACCTTTAGAGAAAGAGTTGCATTCAGTCCAAATCACTGAGGCAGCTCCTATCATATCTTATATATTGACAAATCTTAAGATTTTTAATGTTTTCTCTCATGTTCCTCTGGGGTTCATCAAGAGTTCTAACTTAATAGGTTTTGTAGGAAAAGTCTTCTGACTTGAGAGAGTTCAAAGTATAGAATGTACTTACCGAGGAGAGGGAAAGGAGAGGGTGCTCCACTGGGCCCACTTCCTAAACTACTGTGGAATGTAACCTGTGTGGCACTGAGGGTGATGCCAATCTCGTGGGAAAGTCTCACGTCAAGACATGGTGGCTAGCTGGCTATGCTGACAGCAAGATGAGAAGAAGTGACCGCCATCAGAAATGGCCTGCTCTCTCACGGTTTGTGGTGGCAAAGAATGTGAACCTGTTTCCAGTAGGCCAGGATCAAGACAGCCTGTAGCTTTCTTAAAAGGAACTAGGCTTAAAAGGGCTACCTGGATGGGATCCCACAGCAGAGTGTGTGGGATGGACCAACAGAAACCTGCATCTGAGGGAGAGTCAAGCAGGAGCGGAGATTGCTCTCAAGAGATAATCAGTGACAGGCCTCCAAAGAATCAGTGAAGGGGACTGAGAAAGGTGGCTTAACCATCTGTCAGGGTCAGAGAAGACCAATGCCCAGTTTCCTTGAGTTCCAGACAAGTAAAACCTTTCTTGCCTCCTGCCTCCCTCACTGCAACATCAGTGGAGCCAGAGCAGCCAAGGGGTGAGGAAGGAGTAGGCTTTGGATACAGATGAAGCTGACCACAAGCCCTTCTATCCACTGGGCCCCAAAGGAAAGGAGAGGAACTTTAACAGGAAATGCAGTTAGGGTTTGGGCTATGATTGTTATTGCTGTGTAGAACTAAATACTTTCATCCCTGCTTACAAAACAATCTAATCTCGGGCCGGCCCGGTGGTGCACTGCTACAGTGCGCCGCTTGGGAGCGCGGTGGCGCTCCTGCCGAGGGTTCTGATCCCACATACAGACCGGTTCCCGCTCACTGGCTGAGCCAGGTGTGGGAGCAACGCCGAGGGTTGCGATCCCGTTGCCGGTCCTGGTCCGGTACGGGCGCGACACTGAGGGTTGCAATCCGTTG